TGTTTTTTATTTTGACAGGCCGAAGACTTGTTCTGGTGGGAAAAACTGGAGTGGGGAAGAGCGCTGCTGGGAACACCATCCTTGGACGAAAGGCGTTTGTGTCGGAGCTGTGTCCCTCCTCTGTCACAGCCGAATGCCATAAAGATGAAGAAACCATTGCTGGTCGACAAATTGCTGTAATCGATACTCCAGGGCTTTTCGACACAAAATTTACCCAAGAAGAAATTGTGGCGCGAATCAAAATGTGCATTTCCCTGTGTGCGCCTGGTCCACATGCATTTGTGATCTGTCTCCAGATAGGAGTAAGGTTCACCAAAGAAGAGAAAGATACTGTTCAACTGATCAAAGAAATCTTCGGAGAGGCGGCAGCCAACTACACCATAGTTTTGTTCACACATGGAGATCAGCTCAGGAATTATAGTATTGAGTCTTTCATAAAAGCAAATAAAGATTTATCAGAGCTTCATCCAGGCGTGCCACAACCGCTATCACGTCTTCAACAATCAAATCAAAGACGAGAAACAAACAGATCAACTTTTGGATAAAATTGAAATGATGATACAAAAGAATGGAGGAAGGTATTACACCAATGAGATGTTCAAGCTAGCAGAGGAGGCCATCAAGAAAGAGGAGGAACGACGTTTGAGGGAGTTACAAGAAGAAGAGAGGAAGAAACAGGAGAAAGTGCGAGCTGAGATTCAGAGGGAGGTGGAGAAAGCAAAAGAGACATTTAGGAGAGAAATGGAGGACCATGAAGATAAGGGAAGAACAACGCATGAGGGAGTTAAAAGAACAAGAGGAGAGGAAACAGAAGGAATTGCTCGCTGAGATTCAGAGGGAAAGGGAGAGGTCAAATGAGATGTTAAAGAGACAACAGGAGGCCATGCAGAGAGCAGAGGAACAAAGGTTGAGGGATTTAAAAGCACAAGAAGAGAGGAAAAGGAACGAATGGCTCGCACAGATTCAGAGGGAAAGGGAGAGGTCAAGTGAGATGTTAAAGAGACAACAGGAGGCCATCCAGAGAAGCAGAGGAACAAAGGTTGAGGGAGTTAAAAGCACAAGAGGAGAGGAAACAAGAGGAAATGCGCGTTCAGATTCGGAGGGAGGCAGAAAGGTCAAATGAGTTCACAAGACCGGACGGCAACATGATGGCAGGGAATATTGTGCGTGGCACCACTATAGGGGTAGCAGCCGGTTCATTCTTTGGTCCGATTGGGACAGTAGTAGGTGCAATATTTGGAGGGGTAACTGGAGCATTCTCAAGTAGGGCATGTGTAATACAATAAACTGAAATACTGAGGGAGGAGAATATACATACACTAAATTTTGTAATGAGTTTCTAGTAGTTTCTAGTACTGCACTTTTCTGGATCGAGATGTCTTTGGTTAGGTTAGTCCTTTCACTTTTGTTTTCCTTTATATCTGTCATATGATTTCTCAGAAGCAGAGTGTGACATATAACAAAACGAAATTAAATCTCAGCCACAGGCCCATAACAAAAGAGAAGTGCAGAAAGAAAACTTTTTCAACATGTGTTCATGTCAGACTTAGATAATTTTGTGACTAAAATCTCTGCAAAATTACTGCAAATTAAATGTTTTTCATGATGATTTTTATCTTCATCTTTTTTTATTTTATTTTATGATTGATGCAGAACATTTTCTACAATATACTATGGGGATGGGATATAATCTATACAACTTTCTCATTTTATATTTTCTATTGTTGATTTTTTTTTTTTTTTACCCCTTCAGACTAAATCTGACACAATTACAGGATTGTTCATGAATGCATATGTATTGAGTATAAAGCCCCAATATGCATCACGCTGATCGAGGCAGTGACTGGCCTGAAAAATAACATCATGGCCTGAAGCGTGTAAGCAAGAAGGTGCAGGAGTTGGTGGGAGTTTGCTTGAAAATCCACCTTCCTCATGTCCACAGAGGGAATCCACTTCTCCACCTGACACTTTTCTTTGACATAGTTTCCACTCTTTAGCCTCTAGATGGCAGCGTTGACATTTAACATTTTACCTCTTCAGTGCACCTTCTCCACAGCTTAGCCTCTCTCTGTTCTGCTCTTCATTTAAGTGTACAATATTTACATGTGTTATTATGCTCCTGTCGCACGGCCTCTTCATGGACTCCAGCCTCTGCAGCCCAAACTCATGTCCCTCTCTCTCCCTTCTCTTCCCCGGTGTGTTACCTGCCATTCCAAGATGAGGATTGGAAAGGAATTAGTCTTTATAATTCTAGTAAAGTCTAGCCAAGGATCATCTGTCTTTATCAGTAAATGTTCATTGTTGTGCTGTGGTCCCTGCCAGGCCCTTCTTGCTTACATGACCTTAAATTTAATCAGGAGAAAATATTACTGTAAAGCAAAAAATCACAATGAATGAACAACAGTGAAAGCACTAGAATCTGTGCCAAATATATTCACTCCCTGCTATTGTTTAAAAGTTGGAAGTGACATTAGAGCTATGTGAAAATAGAAATTTGTAGCTCTATTAACTTGCAAACTGTATTTTTTTTATTTTTTTATTTTATTGTATACAAAGACAATAAAAACACTTGTGATTACAAAATGTGGCTTTTCATTATGTCAAGATAAAACACATGTCAACAATTAAAATAAAAGTGTAGATAGCACGAGCTGTACATGTATTTGCAGAACTTCACTCCACTTGACTTTTGTGAGTGGAATGACTTGTGACTTTTTGTGAACTACTTGGTCAGTCTTAGAATAGAACTCACAACTGTCCTCACTTCTGCATTATGTGATTTCATTTAATATGATTGTATAGGTGTGATCTTGCCTGGGATCCACAATACACACTTCTTCAATACTTTACGAAGATAAGAGTCTGAATCTCCCCGAGTTCAGATGGGAGTGACTGACAGAGGGATGAGCCATGGTCAAGCTCATATCTAAATAAATATGGCTGCTCATGAGGAAAAAAAAAAGGGAAAAAAATATCACATGGGATTTGGATGAAACACTAAACTTTATTTGTACCAATGAGCTCCTTTGTTTCACATGTGTCACTGACATACATTTCTGATTTCACGGTCATGTTTACTTGGCCTTAAGACAACATGGAGGGAGTGGTGACCAGACTCATAAACTCTGTTATTGGAGTCTTATATAGCGCTTTTGCCAGATGCTCAAAGTTGCTTTATAATTTTCAATATTCATTGATTCTACACTCACATTACTGTAGCCATAGCTGCCCTGGGGCAGACTGACAGAAGCGAGGCTGTCAATTTGCACCACTGGTCCCTCCAAACACCACCAACACACACTCACACACCACTTTCATACTAGGCAATGTGAGTGAAGTGCCTTGCCTAAGGACACAATGACTGTGTTTTTACCACTGGTGCCCCCCTGTGGCATCTGATTTTCCCAGTGGTCTCCCATCCAAGTACAAACCAGGCCCAGCCCTGCTGAACTTCTGGGATCTGACAGGATCAGGCTTTGATGAGGAGGTTTTCTTCATTTTTCTTGTTATTTACAGTCCAGTTATTTTTATTTTGTCATTTATCATCACTGACTTATTACACCAAAGTATTTCCAACATGAGATGTTCTGTTACTGTGATTTAACAAAACATGAATCAACATGTTCAAACAGCTTTGCCTGTCTATTATGTTGCATATGAAGCTTCATAAGGGCTGCCAATGGAAAGAATGTGGCTCAACCTCAAACAATATTTCTGCTTTCCTCTGAACCTCAGCGATGTGTTTTTCAATTGACTCTTTCTGCTGGACTGGTGGTGCATTCAGAGTCAACATTTTTTCCTTCTCACTCTGAATGGCCTCCTCCACTCTCTTGAACATATCATTGGTGTAATACCCTCCTCCATTCTTCTATATCATTTTTAAAAATTTTATCCAAAAGTTGATCTGTTTCACATCTTTGATTTTATTGTTGAAGATGTGATAGCGGTTGTGGCATTTCCTGATGAACTCTGATAAATCTTTATTTGCCAACCATTGTGCAGTGAGCTGCCCCTTCTGTGAAATTTGATTTGATCACTTGAACAGTATTTTTCTCTTTCCTGATGAACCTTCTTATCTGGATGGTGTTAAGGTTAAATGAAATAAACTGACTGAAAACTAATTCTGATTCAAATTTTAAAACAATATCATAACTGAATGTCATAAAGTCAGTCTTCATGCTTGTACAGACCCCATCTCGGACTCTGAGAAGCTCTTCTTATACCAGTCTAAAGCCTCAGACACCATTTGTCTCTGTTCTCTTGAGCCATGTCTCCTCAGTTTCTATCATTTCACTTTGTTACATGTTTCTCACATCTTTGTTGAGCCTGGTTCTTGCCATTTTTCTTCATGGCTTTATTATCCTGTTCTACAAAGTGAGTTGCACTGCTATAACTTAAACAAAAACAATATTTCTGTAAAGCAGTAAATCACAGAATATGCATCTTATCTGTAGTGAAACAACTCACACCAATGGAAATATGTTCAGTCCCTTCTGTTAATGAGTTGGAGTGACACAAGGAAATTGAAAACAGCAGAATAAAACTGCCAGCTCAGTACAGCACAGAACTAGAACGTCTCTAACAGTGAATAATACATATAAGGATTCAAATCACCCTTGTCTCACAAGTATGATTCCAGGAGTTTTAAAATTCTTGTAATTTTTCTGAGATTTTAATCAAACATGAAGCTTAAAATGGAAGTCTGACCTGAACTCATGTTGAAAAAGTCTTCAGTCGATAACCGTCCACCTGGTTTGGTCTGACCCAGAGTCTCCTGCTCCTCTCTACCCTGCCCCCTTATATCTTTGGACTGGCACAGTGGGTGTTTGCAACATTTTGGGGCCAAATTGAAACTAGGATTAAGTTAATCATTTATTTATTCATTTAGGCAAAAGATGAGAGATGACGTATTACTTTGGCATTTTTCGATCAGGCTTATGACAGTTTATTGTAATGAGCCAAGCATAAGGAGAGTTTTGCAGCGTCCCCTCTTGTATGACTTGTGTTTTAAGTATGTGGATCTAAAATACTGGTTTGGTGGAGACTACACAGGTTAGATTCTCATTTTAAGTTTACAGTGTAAAAGATGCACTATGTAACTTTTCCGGTGGGAGAAATGCAGTGATGGAATGTAACAGAAGTAGTAAAATACTTTATTTTATTGACGATTTAGCCAGTGTATGCCGACGTATGAAACATTTGGCAAATATGCTGGCGTACGTAAATTCTAGGTAAGCACACTGAGGCATGCTGTGTGTAGCTCATCTATATAATATATTTGGATGAAATGTTAAATTATATAGTATTTATTAATTACAGTATTCACTGTTCATTTATAATATTTGAATGTAATTAATACACTGTAGCATCGAGAACAGCCAGGAAATGGGTGGTGCCGATAGTTGGGGGTCCAGCCATAAAGTAGGTCAGACAACGCCCATCCAGTTGTTGTGAGTGTGGCCTGTGCTCAGGTGTTGTAGCCCTGCGCTCAGGTGTTGTAGCCCTGCGCTCAGGTGTTGTAGCCCTGCGCTCAGGTGTTGTAGCCCTGCGCTCAGGTGTTGTAGCCCTGCGCTCAGGTGTTGTAGCCCTGCGTGCCTCACATGTATTGAACCGCTTGGATAAAATAAACGTTGCAAAACGGAACTATATTCACCTGGAGTATTTAAGAGTGCAACACTGGCATACGTCAACGACATACTGCAAGGTCGTCGAAAAATTTTGAGCATGCTTAAAATTTATCGACGTATGTCAGCGTATGCTTATCCATCCTGCATACGTAAATTGTAGGCGTAAATTGTAGGCCTAAGTTATGCGATCGTTGACACGTGTTCAGACGTGAAGGCCCTGTCACACCTTGACGATTTAGAAAACGTATATACAAAACGTATTTAGAAAACGTATGTAATTGTAAGTTATTCATAAGTCCATATACATTGAGATCATGTCTAGCGTACCCATGACTTATGAGAAACGTGCTTTGAGCCTATGTATAATTTATATCAAATTTACGTATGCAGATGTATTTGACATGTTCCAGACAAACGCAGGACTTACTGAACGTGCTTCTAACTTATAGCTACCGTACAATGCCGTATTGGTGGAGTTTAGGAGAATCGGTATAAAAATGGGGAGGAAACCGTCAGTACTCCTTCAGACTTTGTGCTTCCATATATCATATGAGCTGATGCAAAGCACTTGATCAGAGAATACTAACATTCAAGTTAAAAGCCTGTCCCCAAAATGCAGGCTTTTAACTTGAATGTTGATCATTGGTTTTGAAGATGCAGGGGTTGGTGAAAGTTTGCTTCAGAATCCACCTTCCCCTTGTCCACAGATGGAATCCACTGCTTCACCTGACACTTATCTTTGACATATCTTCCACACTTTAACCACTAGATGGCAGCCTTGACTATAAATTTTACCTCTTCCTCTTCATGGACTCCAGCCTCTGCAGCCCAAACTCATGTCCTTCTCTGCATCACAGAGTCATTTACTCAGTTTTTTAATGCACAGAGCTCTAAACAGGATTCAGACACTCCAGTCTGTTATCACATCATGGCTAAAATCTGACTTGAAAGAAGTTATCTAAAATGTTTTCAGAGACAAACTATTTATTGGCCAGACGTTGAAAGGATCTGACCTGCAAAGTTTCAGGTCAGGTCCTTTAGCATCCTGTAGCATCACCTGTCTCTATGGCTCAATTTTTTTTAAAAAATATAATAAATAAATAAATTCATTAAATAAATACATTAAAAATATATATATTTTCCACCTGTGATTTTTATGTATTTATTTATTTTATTATTATTATTTTATTTGCAGTGTTCACATTGAATCCTAAATGTGAACAATTTTCATAGATATTTTTGTCATATAATTTTTGTGATAATTCGGGAGTATAAGAACAAACTTGTTCAGTATTTGCATTTTCTCCTTTGGATTCTCATCCCTCAGTATCAGTCACATGGCCCATTTGCGACTCGTCCAGTCCTTCCTCCAGTTACCCCTCCAACTATTGCACCTACTAATGCCCAAAAAGGACCATGGAGTGAACAAACTAATGCCCCTGTTGCAGTACCAGCCACAATATTCCTTGCTGTCATCGTGCCATCCCACCCATCCTGATGCATTTCTGAACATGTTCTGAACATCAGAATCTATCTGAAGGACGAATTGTCAAAAAGTCGCCCTAAAAACCAAACACAGCAGTAATAGAAACCTAAAAGGAGAAATTTATACAGATTTTATTCCATGGAATATCTTGAATAATATGGACTAAATATCCCCCAGCAGGATTTCCTTTATATCAGATTGTTTCTCGGAAGCAGAGTGTGACATAACAAAACTGAAAGTAGACTCTTTAAAAGAGAAGAGCAGACAGGAGCAGGAGACACTGGACCAGACTGAAGCACATGGATGACTGCTGAAGACTACTGAAGACTTTTCCAACATGAGTTCAGGTCAGACTTTAAATTTAATTTTGCAATCTTAACGTATTACCTTATGATTAATACAAGACTAAACACATTTTCTACAGTGTATTTAATGGAATATAATCTGTTCAGATTATCCTTCCTTTCCTAATCTCCTTTTATATTTTCTATTGTAATGTCCCATGGTTTGATTATTGTTAAAAATGTAAATTTAAAGCCGAATTGGGTTAAAATCCAGGGGAGAGAGCCTCTGCAGCACCAATAAAGGAAACAGAATGAAAATATAATTTATTACAAAAGTTAAAATGAATTACAAATTAAAAACGGATCTTGGATTAAACTGTTTAAAAAGGGGGTTATAAAGATAGATGGGCCAGGTCGAAATGAGCATCTCCAATATCGTTTCTTCTGCGGAACATAAATGGGCGTTTCTTCTGCGGAACATCACTATCTCCCGGCCAAGGCGGGGCTCCTCCTCACTGGATTCAGCATCGTGGTGCCCTTCTTTGGTTGCTGATCGGCCCTCGTGTTCTCGCTCTGTCCCCTCGGTGCCTGGACACAGGAAATATCCCGGCAGCGCTCAGCGCAACACACTGTAGCATATAGCCAAAGGCCATCGAGCTGGAGCACCACGCACAAGTGTCAAACGTTTAAACGTAAGACGCGCAGCTTTAGAACTCCATTTTAACCGGTCTGACAATGTACACCGACAGTGTCATACGCGCGTCCAACGAGCGTCTGACGCTGACGCGCTGCTCAAGATAGATTGGACTTTTGCAGCATCAGCGGGGCGTCTCCAAGATTTCCAGCAGGGGAAAGACAGGAAATAAACACGCGGTGTCAAAATAAACTTACGGTGCCCTTTCAAAATAACTTAACCAAAGTTAAACGTATACGTATACGACGTAAACAACGCGCATTGTGTCCAAGGAAAGGTTAATGATGGACGACGAAGTTAATCTACGAAGTGGAGAAATATAACGTGATTTACTATGTCAGACACCAATTCTACAAGGACTCGGGACTAAGCCAGGACTAAACCAGAACTGAACCAGAACTGAACCGTGTCTCACTGTCGGAATGTGCTCGGGCGTCCTCCCGTGTCGAGTATCCGCAGGCGAAACGACCGGTGCAGAGCTCGAAGACGAGGAGATATGTGCAGCCGTCACCCGATCGCGCTTTTCGGACACCTGCTCCGAAACCGGGGACGTCCGGTGTTCCAGTTCTCCATGTGATCATGTCAAGATGTGATTTGTTTACTCTGGTGTTTACGTATTTGCGCCACCCTCAGGCCACATCAGGCATATGCACGCCAAGATGTTTTATCAGTTGTATCTGACGTACCGTTTCATTTGCAGATTCGACAAGAACATATGCCGTCCTCAATCAAACTTGTGTCTAACATGACTGCGATTAATACATGGCTGAAGAACAAAGTAAATGAATGGTGCATTTGTTTGCTGTGATTGTGATTGTTCTTCTTAAATAATAGTTTTCCTCATCGTGATTTTGACAGTAGCCGTATTTGACACCAACCCATAGGAGTTTGAACCAGGTTTGGTAATTTGGACTATAGCGACACAGGGTGACTCACTCACACAGCAGACAGCACAGGACACAGCACAAACAATTTTAATAAGAGTGGTAAATTGTCCAAAGTGGGTGTCACAAGATAAGACGCTCTGCCAGGTGTCACATTAAGACATGGAAGCAAAGTTTGCGATGTAGCCTTTTAAAACACCATCATGTACCCCTGTGCAGACTTTAGTTCAGTGCTGTAATGCACGCACGATTCACATGGTACAGGACAGACTTGCACTTTTAAAAACAGTGAGTGCGTATACATGCACATCAATAACCCGGTTATGATCGGGTTTTTTGAGTATCCCGGTTTCTTGATGGTGCATGTATACGCAGTAACCTGGTTTCAGTAACCCGGTTATTAGAAACCGGGTTACTGTAGCTGGGTTATTCCGATAGTAACCGGGTTACTTGTGGCATGTATACGCAGTAACCCGAATACTGACATAACCGGGATATGGCTAATAACCGGGTTATTGATGTGCATGTATACGCACTCATTGCTAACTTAGTGTTAAATGTAGCTTTCACAAGTTAACATGCCTCCAATGTGATTGTAACACACATGACAGATATAGGTGCTGAAAAAGATTTAAGATGTGTTGGTGTAGTTTGGAGGTATGAACATTGGACTTATTATTTTTCTTCACTGCTAATGTGAGTTCGAGACCCACGCACCCTCTTCCTCATATTGTTATAGCCTGTTTATCATAGTCATTAAAGGACACCAAACAACTCATAGTCTTATATACAACTGCACCATTCATTTATTTTATTTTGAAGCCATGTATTAATCACAGTTGTTGAACAACTGTTTTTCATAAATTCCAAAGCATTAAGGAGGTCACATCACATGTCACATTCCTCCAGAATGTAAGGGCTGTGTGGGTTCCCTGTGGCTGAAATCCAAGTTAATACAATATTTTATCTTTCAAAGCCATATTTATTGGGTTTTTGATAACAAAAACATTTAACCATCTCTAAAGATCTGTAAGTGTCATATCATAATGAAAATTAAATGCTGCATGGAAGTGACGCTTAACCTCAAACACTTAACAGAGATTTACCTTAAATTGTTAAAACTTATTCAAAGTGCTCTTAAGTGCAGCTGCTGCCATATTTGCATGAACGTGTACATGTCAAATCTGCCTTTGCACACTTGCTTCACCCAGCACAGGCTACTCTGCATCCACACTTGATAAGTTCACAGCATGCGTCCTTTGCTGGTGGAGCATGGACCATGACTGTAACCACTGACTGACATCACACTTCCATCACCAGTCTGCAGGACTGAGGAGATCTGGTGTCTTAAAACACTGAAATTCTTAATGGTGCATTTTAAATTTTTTGGTGGGGGGTCCACAACCTGCATCTTTCATGAAGATATTATATCTTTGGCTGGAATGTTCCACTGTATGGCATTAAATATATCAGTCTGTGTTTATTCAGTTAACGATTGAACATGTGTTTATTGTTCAAATACATAAAATGCAGATATTCTTACATTTAGCAGGGTCTCGTGCTTGTCACCAGGGACATGGATAAGGTTAATGTCATACTGTGAAAGCAAAGCAATAACATCTCCATGGAGACAAGCAGGTATCTTACCTTCCACTGGAAATGTTACACTGTGCACCTTTGAAGATGTTAATGTCTTTTACATAGCCCATATATCTCACATTATGTGAAGAGAAAAAAAAAACAAAACATGATTTCAGCAGTCTTAAGCAAAATTAAGCAATGTTTATTTAATTAGACTTAAATTTTATCATTTGAAGCTAAAACAGAGTAAATTTGTTGTCTTTATAATGGGTTTATATCTTTATTTTTTATATCTTTATTATATATTATAGTCTGAACATCTACAGCTCATTCCAGACTGAGAGATCGAAATGAAAATACGACACCATCACAAAACCTGGTCGAATCTCACTTTAATTTGGTCATAATCCCAAATCACCATGTCCACAGTTTCAAAGGTGTTCTTAGTCTGGTGTGGGATCACTGCAGAGCCGTCCACCTCTGCTGTTGTCATTATTGTTATTATGATACTGTGATGTGTTTTAGGGGGGATAAATTAATTTGGTGATGGTTGTTGTTTATTCGTGGCAAATGCCAAATTTAAATCTGTCACTGTGACCCTTTAGAAGACAAAGCAAGAGCAGATGCTGCTAATCTAACATTCATTTATTATGGTAAGGATAATATAATGCAAGGTCATTTACATATAGGCAATTTGAACATTAATGCATAGAGATTTTTGGGGCATAAGTTTCTTGGTAGTATTAAAGATGTACTATGTAACTTTTCTGCTGGGAGCGATAAGTATCAGATCAGTATGGCATTAAACTTGTCTATCTCCTTGGAGACAAGCCAGTGGCACAACCAGGCCATGTTTACATGGTCAGATCTATGGAGAGGTGACCCCACTCACAATAAGAAATCATGTTTATTTCAAGGTATTTTTGAGTAATGAAATAAAATAAAATAAAATTAAGGTTATATAAATAAGTTTAATGCTATACTGCTGAATATTTCAGGTAAAGCAATGAAATCTCCATGGTAACAAGCAGGCATAACATCCATAACAAGACTGCATTAAAGAACCTTAAATCAGCTTCAGGTTTTATATGCAAAACCTTATATAATATCACTTGTGTAGTTTTATTTATATGTAGTTTTTATATGCGTACTTTATACGTTTTCTCAAGTACAAGCTCCGCAGTAGTACTTGTAATTGAGTAGATGTTTTGCTATGTAACTGTACTTTTACTCAGATTTTCAGTAGTCTTTTCACCATTTGAACCAGGAAACTAAAAGGAAGACCGAAGAGCTAATATAACCATTGAAAATATAGGCTAAAGAAAGAGGAGGAGGAGAAAGAAATGAAAACAGAAAATCAAAACTACACAAAACTATGTTCATGAAGTTTTACATTTGCCTTAAAGTGGGACTAAACACCTAAACTCCGCCCACAAGTACATTTCAAATAGAGGTGATCAACTGAGGGGTACCTGGAGGAGTAAAGAAGAGAGTGAACGGAGAGAGTGGCGAGGTTAGGGGTTATAAGGAACAGTGTGTGATTGGTCTAACAGGTATCCACACTACAAACTCCCCCATAGCCAGAGATTTGTAAACAAAAACATCTGGCTGTAATCAGGGCAGTCCTGTGTGATGTCACATAGTACTTGACACCACAGAGGCCACTGGAGTTCACACACACTCATTTTAACACATTTTTGACCAGATTATTTTGAAAATTACCTAGTTTGCTCTAAAATTACCCAAAAAAGCACTAGAAACAGTAAATAATATTATCAAAGATGCACGGTGTAACTTTTTGAATGTTCCGCAGTATCACTTTAAACAGCTCTACTTTACATGTATTCAATTACAGGTGGTTTTATAGCTCATAAATACAGAGAAAAACAGACATTCTGACTGAGTGGGGTCGCCTCTCCACAGATCTAACCTGTAACTTGGTCTGGTTTAGTCTCCATGAAGATAGAAAGGTTTATTACCATACTGTGGAACATTCCAGATGACGTAATAACAGCTCCATGGCAACCAGAAAAGTTACACAATGCACCTTTTAAAAAACACCATTAGTTTAGTAGCAATTTTTTGTGATTTAATGTTTACTTTCACTTTAAAAACAGCATTGAAAGTAGTTAGTATCTTGAGAATACATAATCTTCTTTATAACCTATATGATAATTTAACATTCTTTTCCAAAAAAAGGAGGTTTAAGCAGTAATTTAGCTCCCAGCCTCATTTCAATGTCAGCCATTTTGTAACATGCGCAGTACTCAGCTCCAGGTCGACTTAGGCTTGGCTCCATATCCAGAAATATTGGTCCCAGGGATGTTAATAATCTGGCAAAGTTTCATGCGTGTACCATAAAAGTGAAGAATTGGGCACTTTTTAGGTCCTTAACAGCTCCACTACTTGTTGAATCTGCAAATGATTTGGTACGTCAGCAACAATTGATAAAACATCTTGGCGTGCATATACCTGATGTGGCCTGAGGGTGGCGCAAATACGTAAACACCAGTGTAAACAAATCACATCTTGACATGATCACACGGAGAACCAGAACACCAGATCTGGTTGCGGTTTGGCTGACATGTCCGAGAGGGAGATTTAAAAAAAAATGTGGTTGGTGGAGAAGTGGCAGAGGTGAGGCGTTTTAAAGCACGTGAGGGTGGAAATATTAATGCATCAGTTCTGCTCACATTTAAAGAAAATAATCTTGCTTCACGAGCTCCCAGGTTAGGGGCTATGTAAGGCCCCCATTAAGGTGCTTCAAGTGTCAGATTTGGCCACATGGCTGGAACATGCAGAGGCTCTAGAAGATGTGCCAAATGTGGGGAAGATCATGATATCGCAGAGTGTGGTGCTTCAGCCTCAAAGTGCTGTAACTGCAGTGGAGCTCATATAGCATCTTCTTGAAAGTGCAAGATTTTTTTTGTGAATGCCCAGAATGTACAGTTAGTAAAAGAGCAGTACAAAATGACATATGCTGAAGCCCTGAAGAGAGTGGAGGGATTCACTGCTGCGGGTGTCACAGCAGGGAGCTTCCCTGTGGAGCCTCAGCTGCCTCCTGCTGTAGCTGGAGATCAGAGTACACTGGTGATTCAGATGGAGTCATTGGATTTTATTGTTGATATTATTTATGGGGCTCCTGAAAAGAAGGATTCTTGGGCTCCAGAAAGTCCTCTCCACAGACTCTGTTGCAGTTTATGAGGACAGTTCAAGTGAGTCAGTCTGATTCTACATGTAGTCAATTAGATGCTGATGATTTTGATAAAAATGAGACCCAATGGCTAGTTTTGAATGAACTTAACCTTTTCCTCATGGTTTACTTCTTGCAACCGAAAGCAAGAAGTTTAATTGCAAATGGGCAGGAGTTGAAAAAAGCAATTAGGGAGTCTGATCCAAAACCAGACCTCATTTGTTTTCAAGAAACCTGTCTTAAGGCTAATCTTGATTTTATTGTTCCAGGTTTTGAGTGTCTCCAGAAAGACAGACTAGATAGACGTGGTGGAGGATGCACAACTTTTATAAGAACAGGTATTCAGTACAAGTCCATTAAGTGGGATGGTTCACTTGAGTGTGTGATTAATCGGGTTTGGTGTTCATGAGGGTAAGTTTAATTTAGTTAGTTGCAATAATCCATGTAAGTCATTAGTTTTAGCGGAACTTGAAGATATTTTTAATAAAGTAGGAATGACAGTGATTTAGGTGGGAGATTTTAATGCTCACAATCCACTGTGGGAGAGTTTAGAAAAGCAGTGGCAATGGCAGTGTAACTGAAGATTCTTTAGATATTGCAAATCTAGTTGTTTTAAATGCAAGTGCACCAACTCAGGTAGACCAAATATTTTGGAAGGAGTCTCGCCTTGACTTAACACTTGCATCCTCATTTTTGGCACGGGTAGGTGAGTGGAGGGCAGAACCAGACTCATTGGGTAGTGACCACTTCCCAGTGCTCAGTCATTTTGGGAGGTCGCTGGTTGAAGATAATGGAGAAAGAAGTGTTAGGTTAAATATTTCCTTAGTTGACTGGGGTAAGTTCAGTGAGTGTGCGGCAGTAGGGTTAGAAGATGTTAATAGTAATAGTTCAGTAGATGAGGATTGCGAGTCTCTAACGGTATTTATTATGAGGGCTGCTTCTGACTCTATCCCTCTTAGGACAACTCCACGTGAACGTAGTATTGTCCCCTGGTGGAATAAGGAGTGTGACGCGGCTGCAAAGAAAAGAAGCTCTGCTTACAGATACACACAGAAGTTTCCTATTCCCGATAATAATATTGAATATAAGAAGTGCAGAGCATTAGCAAGGAAAGTTATTAAGGCTGAAAGGAAAAAAAGTTTGAACTTTTGTGGCACCTTAAGACTAGATACTCCAAAGAATATGCCGAATGGCTGGAAAAAGGGTCAGCACTACAATTCCAGTGTTGTCAGGTGGTCAAAAGGAGGCTGTTAATAGTAAAGGAAAAGCTGACGTGTCTAAATGCTTTTTTTTTACAATGTCCATAATTCAAAGCACTTGGATCAGGACATTTGAAGGTTAAGACATAATACTCTGAGTAAGAATAGCTCGAAGTTGACTGGAGGGGTGGCTACCAGTAGCTCATATAACTTGTTCTTTTTGTAGCAGAGGGGTAGATGGGAGAGTAGGAGAAACCCCAACATAATCGTAGTTAACATAAAGCCAACAACGCAGCTGTACGATGACTTTGTCCTTAAAATATAAAACATAGTAAAAGCAAAGAAGCAGCTCGTTCACAGGGCCACTGCTCCACCAGATGACGTGCTGAAGACCACCCTAGACCCTAAAAATGAACATGATATTTTATGCTTCACTTGTTAGTAGCCCCATACACCTAATAGTGACCAACCGACGTACCACGAAGCACAACAAAACCAGCGATCAACAGCAAATACACACAGGAGCTGGTGGCACAATAATAAAGCCATATATTAAATTATGGACTTGGAAACTGTAATTAGAGAACAGAGGTTATTTACCTGTGTGTTACAGGGTGGGGCCCTATCTCGGAAGTGCGCCGAGGTCAGAGAACGAGACGTTACAGGGAGAACCATTTTATAAGCCCAGGTGGAACCTGGTGGCAGAAGGCAGCAGGCACGCACTGCTACATTCTCTTTAAAAGAGCTGGAAGAGGCAAAACAGGCTGGAGCGAACATGACACTAGGACAAGATCGAATGTTCTTTCCTCTGATAATAGTCTAATGGATGTAGCTCTGTTAAACTTTACCCACCGCTCCAGCCTTTATCTGAGAATTTAATATCATTTCATGACGGTGGAGGGCAACACTGCGCACTGTAGCGTGTAGCCTGTGGGAAACTATTAGAAGAAGAAGATAAAAACAGCAAATCAAAACATGCAACATCTACTCACAAATGCAATAAAACTAGCCTTCAGTTGCACTGAGACATATCACACTTATTGATTTAGTTTGGTTTTTAAGGTGACTTTTTAACACTTAGCAATTCAGAGTAATTCTGATACCTTTAGAGGAATGTTCATGCATATAATGTAAATATTCATATATATATATATATAAATGCATATAGTCCATGACAAATAATCAAATATATATAATATAATGATCAGAGCTCAGCTACTGACTGAATATGCAATATTTTAAATGTTATCAAGTCAGAGGTTTGAAATTATTCCAGTGAAGGACTTTAAAAACACAGTGGAACACTCCCTGTATCACCATAAGTTGGAACAGAGAGTTCTCTAGAGTTCTAAATGGCTAAATATGCAAAATATGTGTGGATGAAACAGGTATGTTTTTGATGAGGAAGCAACACTATATCATAGATCAGAATATGAGCCCTTTAAACACTTCTGTCAATTATAATGTAAAAATATAGCTGCAAGCGGCAATGATCGGTCCTCGCTGGAGCCTACAGCGCGCCCCGCAAACACCGCGCTCCCCAAACGGCGTGCCCTGCAAACGCCGCACTTCACAAACGCCATACCCCGCAAACAGGCGCCCTGCAAGCGCTGTGCCCGTCAAAAAAATAACCTAATCTTAAACCTTACCCTAATCGTAATCCTAACCATAGCCCCAACCGTAGCCCTATAAGTTGTAATCTAACCCTGCAATTTTCAAAATTTTGCAAACAAAAAAAAAACAACAAAAAAATCTAAGATGGCGGACCTTCTGTTTGTAAAGGGGCGTGATCACAATATACATTTTTGTTCCTATTGCCATTATGCATCTGGCTACCAAATTTGGTTTGGCTATGCCAAAGTTTGTGTAAGGACGTTCCTTTGGCAGAACAGAATTTTTGCTTGTTGCTATGGCAGCACAATGTAAATGGGGTTTGGGCATCATTGAGTTTTTTTAATCGAGACCATGTCACAAATGTGAATACCAAATTTTGTGTATCTATGACAAGTAAAATGTTACTGTTCTGTTCAAATTTTCTAGGGGGCACTATTGCACCCATGTTTCTATTTTCTTACATCAGTGTGTTCAGGATCGGGGTGTGAACCCACGATTAAAATTTGAGTGAAATCGGCCAAAGTTTGTGCCAGAATTTGTAGATTTTACCAATGGAATAACATGGAGAGTTTATACCATCGCTATGGCATCGCCATAAAAAATATGACATGGTTGTCATTGACTTTTGGATCAGGATGCTCAGGATGGAATTTTGTGCAAAATTTCTGAAAGTTTTTGAACAACTATCTGGGAACAAATAATTTTCACATGAAGTAGCTTCAGGGCAGAGAGTTTAACAACTGTTTCAAATTTCATTGAAATCGGAGTTTGTTTGAGCAAATGGGAGCAATTTGTAAATCTCCAAAATTGTGTGAATTTTTTGTTGTTTCACTGCTCAGAGACCGTAAGACGTGTGTGAAAAATTTTTTGATGTTCCACCTCTTGAGATAATGTGGACCAAATTTGAGCTTGTTCGGGTGAACGCCCTCGGAGGAGTTTGTAAAAACTTAGCAAACTTTAAGCCAATATTGCTGCCCCCTAGTGGAGCGCACGGTGTTGGCGTAATAATATTTTTTCCTTGTCTTGACATGATCGACTTCTGTGTTAAATTTCATGATTGTACATGCAATTTTTTTTTACTGTGTTTCGTATTCCCTAATGCATTTTTGAGTTGTTTGGGGGCGCTGACGAGCCATTTTATTTATATTTGAAAAATGGAAATTGCCAAAACTTAGAAAAGCACGAGTTTTACTAGATGGCAAAACTTCAGGGCTTTTTGTCATTGTTCAGTGGGTGAAAAATGGGTGAGTTGGCTAGGAGAAAAATAATAAGAAAGAAAGAAGAACATTCTGGTACGAGAACAATTTTCCACTTTTTTTTTGGCTGCCAAACTATACATTTTTGGAAACCTCTGGCGCATTGCTACGTCATGGCGAGGGTCCCTGGTCACTATGGGCGAGTCACGTCATTTCATTTTCCGGCCACTAGGAGCATCACTTTGCGATACTAATAGGCCCTCTGCCAGCCTCTGGCACTCGGGCCTAACTAAGATATCTCCATAGATGTCCTTGTACAGACTGCTTTACTTTTGGTCTGAAAAAAAAAAAAAAGCCTAATAACATAAAATATCAGAAGACCAAATGAACCTCATTGGACTATTACAGACTGCTTTGTTGAATCAGTCAATCATTGTTTGTTCTATAAATATAACAGGAGGACTATGTGCAGTGTATGATGGGACACTTCATCCAAAACAATGCTCCAGTCAGAGAGTGAAGGAGGACACTTGAATAGTTTTATGGAGCTTTAATGTTTTTTCTTTTTGTCTAGTTTATAATACCATTTAAATAATATTACTAACTGAAATGATTGTACCAGAGTAATGATAGACAGCACATATCATCAGTGTGTGAATGACTGTTAAACAATGTATGTCCACAATCACATATAAATATGTCAGTCAAGTTCAAATATAAAATAAACTGGCATCAGAACATTGTAAATACACTGTGAACTTTTAGCTGCCCAACATTGCCTGGTACTAGAGATACTACATACTAGAGAATTAACAGGAGCTACGTTTTAAATTGCTATTCAGATCTATTGAGAAATGACTTGAAATAATGTAAAACTGCTGCTGTATCACATTCTGTTGTCTCAGTATTATCATGGATGTGAATTTATTTTATTTTTTTTATTGTGACAGGCCGAAGACTTGTTCTGGTGGGAAAAACTGGAGTGGGGAAGAGCGCTGCTGGGAACACCATCCTTGGACGAAAGGCGTTTGTGTCGGAGATGTGTTCCTCCTCTGTCACAGCCGAATGCAAAAAAGCTGAAGGAACCATTGGTGAACGACAAGTTGCTGTAATTGATACTCCTGGGCTTTTCGACACAAACATTAGCCAAGAAGAAATTGTGGAGCAAATCACAAAGTGCATTTCTATGTCTTTGCCTGGTCCACATGCATTTGTGATCTGTGTACAGCTTGGAAGGTTCACCAAAGAAGAGAAAAATACTGTTGAAATTATCCAGAAAGTCTTCGGAGAACAGGCAGCAAACTACACCATTGTTTTGTTCACACGCGGTGATGATCTAGAGGATGATATTGAGTATTTCATAAAGGCAAATAAAGATTTATCAGAGTTCATCCAGACGTGCCACAACCGCTATCACGTCTTCAACAATAAAATCAAAGACAAGAAACAAATAGATACATTTTTGGATAAAACTGAGAAGATGATACAAGAGAATGGAGGAAGGAATTACACCAGTGAGATGTTCAAGAGAGCAGAGGAGGCCATCAAGAAAGAGGAGGAACAACGTTTGAGGGAGTTACAAGAAGAAGAGAGGAAGAAACAGGAGAAAGTGCGAGCTGAGATTCAGAAGGAAGTGGAGAAGTCAAAAGAGACATTTAGGAGAGAAATGGAGGCCATGAAGGAAAGGGAAGAACAACGCATGAGGGAGTTAAAAAAACAAGGAAAGAGGAAACAGAAGGAATTGCTCGATGAGATTCAGAAGGAAAGGGAGAGGTCAAGTGAGATGTTAAAGAGACAACATGAGGCCATGCAGAGAGCAGGGGAACAACGCATGAGAGAGTTAAAAGAACAAGAGGAGAGGAAACAGAAGGAATTCCTCGCTGAGATTCAGAAGGAAAGGGAGAGGTCAAATGAGATGTTAAAGAGACAACAGGAGGCCATCCAGAGAGCAGAGGAACAAAGGTTGAGGGAGTTAAAAGCACAAGAGGGTCAGAGGGATGCAGAAAAGCCAAACAGGGACACTGTTGCGAGTGGCGCCACTACAGGGGCAGTAATTGGTTCAGCCTTCGGACCGGTTGGGACATTAGTAGGTGCAGGAGTAGGTACAGGAGTAGGTGTATTAACTGAAACGATAAAAGCAGTCTCAGATGATGCCTGTGTAATACAATAAACTGATATTGAGGAATGAGAAAATACATACATTAAACTTTGTAATAAGTGTCTAGTAATTTCTCGTACTGCACTTTTCTGGATCGAGATGTCTTTGGTTAGGTTAGTCCTTTCAGTTTTGTTTTCCTTTATATCGTTCATATGATTTCTCAGAAGCAGAGTGTGACATATAATTAATTAAACCTCAACCACAGACCCATAAGGGAGAAGTGCAGAAAGGAGCAAGAGACATTGACCAAAGCAGTTAGACTTTCCAAGACTTTTTCAACACGAGTTCATGTCAGACTTTAAGATCATTTTGGGACTAAAATCTCTGCAAAATGACTGCAAATTAAATGTTTTTCATTATGATTTTAATCCTCATCTTATTATTATTTTTTATTTAATTTTATGATTATTGCAAAACACTTTCTTCAATATATCATGTGGGATATAATCTGTACAACTTTCTCCTTTTATATTTTCTATTTTTTTTTTTTTTTACAGTTAGCCCTTTAGACTAAATCTGTAATGCTTTAACCATGGGACCTGTACTCCCTGTAACACTGCTGTTCTTCTATGTACTTCTACCTGTGGAAAAGGTGGTCAGACTGTTAAGCTGTAACTTCTTCCCGTATTAATGCAAGAATAAAAAAAACACAAAGACAGATGGACTCATGACTCTTATTTCCTTCTCACCAAATTGTACAAGAAGTTTTATTACAACAGTTTTTTTTCCAGTTCTGTCTGTGCGTGTGTGAGAGTTTTTTTTGTTTTGTTTTTTTTTTAACCCTGTGATGCAGAGAGGGACATGAGTTTGAGCTGTAGATGCTGAAGTCCATCAAGAGACCAATCAGGTAACAGGAGCATAATGACACATGTAAATACTGGACACTTGAATAAACAGCAGGACACAGGCTGTGGAATGTAAAATGTACAGTCAACGCTTCCATCTAGTGGACATGGGGAAGGTGGATTTTCAAGCAAACGCTCACCAACTCCTGCACCTTCACCAGACAAAAGAACATTTTGGGCACAGGCTTTTAACTTGAATGTTGACCATTGGTTTTGAAGATGCAGGGGTTGGTGAAAGTTTGCTTCAGAATCCACCTTCCCCTTGTCCACAGAGGGAATCCACTGCTTCACCTGACACTTATCTTTGACATATCTTCCACTTTTTAACCACTAGATGGCAGCCTTGACTATAATTTTTACCTCTTCCTCTTCATGGACTCCAGCCTCTGCAGCCCAAACTCATGTCCTTCTCTCCATCACAGGGTCATTTACTCAGTTTTTATGCACAGAGCTCTAAACAGGATTCAAACACTCCAGTCTGTTATCACATCATGGCTAAAATCTGACTTGAAAGATGAATTTTTGAGTGTGTTCAGAGACAAACTATTTTTTGTCCAGACATTTAAAGGATCTGACCTGCAACTTTGCCGGGTAGCATCACCTGTCTCCATGGCAGAGATAAGTTTCATAGTAAACAGTTTTCATCAGTCTTATATAGTCAGGTGTATTTCCTCAAACACATAGACTTCAGTGTACTTGTGCTGCTAGAACAGTTAAAACATGTGGCTGCATTATACTGTGAAACATGAAGCAGTGATTTTGTCTGGAAAATAGTTTCAGATGAATGAAACTTTGCTTTGCTGTCTGTCTCTCTCCTCTCACTTGTTCATGTTCATTCACAGATCTTTGTTGTGTGTGGTCCTTGATTGTTTTTTTTTGTAAACTGCTGTACAAAGTGAGTTGCCTTGCTACATAACCCTAAATTTTATCAGAAGGAAACATTGTTTTAAAACAGTAAATCATAATCTAAACACTTTATCATTTGTGAAAACACTCTATACCACTCTACTCAACTGAAAGTTGAAAGTGAAAATAGAAGTCAGCACAATAAAATGTAAGACACTCAATATTAACATTTTATTCATTTTTTCATTATATGTAAATTGAGGGACAGGCTTTGGGACAGGAGGATCTGTGTCCCTCCCCTCTACACAAATTACATTCTGCAAGTTTAACATTCTCTTAAAGGTGTGTTCATCATTTGGATAAGTGTTGAAAGAAGTGTCTGCTTTTTAACATCAGTAATAACTCTGTCACGCAAAATAACACATGACCAGAGTCTGGTGAAACTTGCTGAGATTATATTTTCTTTATGAAAACAACAAATGTGTTTAAAGTTTTGTGTGAGCTGTTTTCAACTGATAAATGTACAAAAGTGAAAAACAAACAAACAAACAAACAAACTCCAAGTTACACACATAATTGGTGATATAGATATTATAATTTTTTGAAGAACTGAGTAACTGTCAAAAGTGCTGTCAGTTATTATATAATATGTATTATATGTATAGTAACTGTCATCCCAGCAGCAGCTACAAAGAGAGAGAAGAGATTATTGAGTCTATTGGAGTTTATTTTTTTGTGCTTGTGGTTTCTTCCTTGACAATACAAAATGTGTGATCAGACTGTTTGTATGTCATCACTGCTCACATGAACAGTCGAGCAGATACAATGGGCTCTGACATTTTAAATTCAAGTTCATTTTACAATCATCCATGCGGACCCCAGGGGTAAAAACGTTGCCATATTTCTGAGAGCGTTGTGTCTTTTTCTTGGTCCATTTAGGTGGTTGTCACCCAACTTGTTGCTATCACATGCCCAAGAGCTCATTTCTTTACCATTCTTTATGTGGTGTGTATACAAAAAATTCATTTGAGGTCCACGTGGACCCCAGCCGAACCAGGTGTCTAACATCTGGTTATTATTTGTTTTTGATATTTCTCTGACAGATACCAGAGTTGCATATTGTTTCATTTAAGTTAAGAAAGACTTACACTTGCATTGACAATAAATTCTACTACCAGTATTCTGTGTGATGAGAGCCTATAAGCATGCAGTGGAGTGTAAATATTGCATTTGTGAAGGCCCCGTGTTGATTTTCTTGCCAATATGACAATCTATTGTGATCACACACCTTTAGTTTTTTATGAGACACCCACATTTTCTTCAAACATATTTCTTTGTTATTGTGGGGTCCGTGTGGACCCCAGTCCCAAAGAGGCTCATTTTACCAAAAGGATTATGTATACCCTATACCAAAAGGAACACCTATGATGTCTTTTCTTTGTTAGCATCAATGATGCAGCAGAACATAAAAACCTCAGTTTACACATGATTTTGCACCAAAAGTGACAAAAATGTGAAAAAAGAGAAAAAAAACGTGAGGGTATTATTTCATTTTTCATTGAATTAAAGCAAGTTATATCAAATGAATTTCATTGTTTCTTTATTTATAGTATCTGAGGTTGTCACACACAAAAACCTACTTTGGAGACAACTGTAACCTGCACACTTATGGGAAATATATAAAATAATGTTGGGGTCCATGTGGACCCCAGGTGTACAGATTAGTAGGTTTTGGCACATGTACTGATGAGGGTTAATCATTGGTGAGAGATGGTGTTGGAGGTGATTACTTACTTACTTTGGCATGTTTCGATTATAACTTCCATCGTCGCCAAAGGTAGAAGGTTTTTGACAATTTATTGTAACGAACCAAGCGTAAGGTTTTGACTCAGACCATGACAGAGCTTGGATGAGCACCCAAGATCTGATTATTATTAGCTATAAGACTATTAAAATTACATATAAAAAGTAATTTAAGGTGCTTGAGCTCATATTGTGACTATACACTGTAATTTAAGAGAAAGAAAGAAAGAAAGTGTCCAAACTTTTGACCAATAATATAAGTTAATAATTACAGGTGATATGAACATTGTGATATTAAGATTTAGTTTTACATTCAGTTTTGCTATGTGTCACAGACTCTGTTTCTAAAAAAACATTTGGATATTTCTTGTACTTTGAACTGATTTATAATTTATTTATTTATATATTTTTTTATGTTATTCAAGGTCAAACTGTCGAAGGCTTTTATCTAAAGTAAAAAAAAAAAAATAATAATTAATTAATAAAAAAAAAAAATTATATATATATATATATATATATATATATATATATATATATATATATATATATATATTTATATATAATTTATTTATTTTTTTTTTTTATTTTTTTTTTTCAGATAAATGTACAAAAGTGAAAAAAACCCAAAACAAACAAACAAACAAACAAACAAACAAACAAACAAACTCCAAGTTACTCACATAATTGGTGATATAGATATTATAATTTTTTGAAGAACTGAGTAACTGTCAAAAGTGCTGTCAGTTATTATATAATATGTATTATATGTATAGTAACTGTCATCCCAGCAGCAGCTACAAAGAGAGAGAAGAGATTATTGAGTCTATTGGAGTTTATTTTTTTGTGCTTGTGGTTTCTTCCTTGACAATACAAAATGTGTGATCAGACTGTTTGTATGTCATCACTGCTCACATGAACAGTCGAGCAGATACAATGGGCTCTGACATTTTAAATTCAAGTTCATTTTACAATCATCCATGCGGACCCCAGGGGTAAAAACGTTGCCATATTTCTGATAGCGTTGTGTCTTTTTCTTGGTCCATTTAGGTGGTTGTCACCCAACTTGTTGCTATCACATGCACAAGAGCTCATTTCTTTACCATTCTTTATGTGGTGTGTATACAAAAAATTCATTTGGGGTCCACGTGGACCCCAGCCGAACCAGGTGTCTAACATCTGGTTATTATTTGTTTTTGATATTTCTCTGACAGATACCAGAGTTGCATATTGTTTCATTTAAGTTAAGAAAGACTTACACTTGCATTGACAATAAATTCTACTACCAGTATTCTGTGTGATGAGAGCCTATAAGCATGCAGTGGAGTGTAAATATTGCATTTGTGAAGGCCCCGTGTTGATTTTCTTGCCAATATGACAATCTATTGTGATCACACAGCTTTAGTTTTTTGTTATTGTGGGGTCCGTGTGGACCCCAGTACCAAAGAGGCTCATTTTACCAAAAGGATTATGTATACCCTATACCAAAAGGAACACCTATGATGTCTTTTCTTTGTTAGCATCAATGATGCAACAGAACATAAAAACCTCAGTTTACACATGATTTTGTGACAAAAGTGACAAAAACGTGAAAAAAGAGAAAAAAACGTGAGGTTATTATTTCATTTTTCATTGAATTAAAGCAAGTTATATCAAATGAATTTCATTGTTTCTTTATTTATAGTATCTGAGGTTGTCACACACAAAAACCTACTTTGGAGACAACTGTAACCTGCACACTTATGGGAAATATATAAAATAATGTTGGGGTCCATGTGGACCCCAGGTGTACAGATTAGTAGGTTTTGGCACATGTACTGATGAGGGTTAATCATTGGTGAGAGATGGTGTTGGAGGTGATTACTTACTTACTTTGGCATGTTTCGATTATAACTTCCATCATCGCCAAAGGTAGAAGGTTTTTGACAATTTATTGTAACGAGCCAAGCATAAGGTTTTGACTCAGACCATGACAGAGCTTGGATGAGCACCCAAGATCTGATTATTATTAGCTATAAGACTATTAAAATTACATATAAAAAGTAATTTAAGGTGCTTGAGCTCATATTGTGACTATACACTGTCATTTAAGAGAAGGCCTTTTGGATGCAAAAATAAATGGGAGGCTTTAAACACCAATTTCAATATATCTGGTTGAAAAAGGTAACTGTATCCCACCACCTCTTCCTCTTCCCACTTGTAGCTCTGTACATGGATATATGTATTATTATTATGATCTATTATTATTTTTAGTCATTTAGTTTAATAGTATGTAGTTCCTATGGAAATATTATTATACTGATCCCTCCAAAATCTCCCTATAACCAACACTGTACTGATGAAACTGCTGCTCAAACCCCACACTCTCACACACAGACACATACACACACAAACACACAAACCAAGCACGCACACAAATACGCACACACACACAATACGCACACACATATACACACACATATACACACACATACACAAACTTAGTTCACACTTCACATATACTGTATAAAGAAAGAAAGTGTCCAAACTTTTGACCAATAATATAAGTTAATAATTACAGGTGATATGAACATTGTGATATTAAGATTTAGTTTTACATTCAGTTTTGCAATGTGTCACAGACTCACAAAACATTTGCATATTTCTTGTACTTTGAACTGATTTATAATTGTATTTATTTATTTATTTTTTTATCTTATTCAAGGTCAAGCTGTCCAAGGCTTTTATCCAAAGTAAAAAAAAAAAAAAAGTATATATATATATATATATATATATATATATATATATATATATATATATATATATATATATATATATATATATATATATATATATCAATCAATCAAACTTTATTTGTATAGCACTTTTCATACATTTGAAATGTAGCACAAAGTGCTTCACATGCAACAGAAAACATTTTTAATACATTAATTAACACCCCCCCCCCCCCATACCACAATTTAAACAGAAACATAAAAACTAAAAAACTAATAAACATAAAGCTCTTAAAAGTTATAGTAAAAATTTAAAGTGTGTAGCTAAGACCAGATGGAGACAAAATAAAATAGTAATGATAATTTAATTTAAAACTACCATAATAATAACAATAATAATGATAATTTAAGTTAAAACAGGTAAAAGTTTCAGTTAAAAGCTAAATTAAAAAGATATGTTTTAAGTTTACTTTTAAAAATATATATATATACAATGCCATTTTCATACATGAGATCTTATAATTCTGATAAAGCTAAAAATCAGCCATTTAAAAATAAAGGTGATTCAATGCTGCCAAAGCAAAATATTATTATTATTATTATTATTATTATTATTATTATTATTATTATTATTATATTATTATTATTATTATTATTATCTTTGACACCATAGCAATGATAACACCAAACAACTTTTTGAGATCAGTCTCTTTTTCAATTGTTTTAAGCAAAGTTTGTGAAACTAGGTTTAGTTTGATCATTTGGTTCAAATCTGTATCTGAACTGGGGCACAAGTGATCACATCATTTGGAACATTTCTCATCAGTTCATTCAGTTCTCAGGCTCTTTCTCTCTTTCTCCGAACACTGGACATTCTCTCATTTTAGTACTAGAGGCCTGTTCTCACATGCTAAAGGACTGTGGCCCAAACTGTCACTTTCAATATAGAAACTCAAACAGAAAGGCCAATCAGAATTTTTGAGCACCAAAAAGTGAACAGCAAAGGATTTCACACATGAGTCAAACAGGCAGAAGGAGCTCAGCAGTGAGTACAGACTACATAGACTACATACAGTTGTGTTTGTTTTTCAAGAGCCCATTACATATTACAGTACATATGAAGTGTTGATGTATTTGCTTCAACTTGCACTTTTGATTTATATTCATGCATTGTAATTAACTTTAAATGGTTAAGGTTAAATAAAGCAGACTGACTGAAAACTAATTCTGATTCAAACTTTTTAATAATATGATAACTGAAGGTCATAAAGTCAGTCTTCATGTTTGTACAGACCCCACCTCAAACTCTCAGAAGCTCCTCTTATACCAGTCTAAAGCCTCAGACACCATTTGTCTCTGTTCTCTTGAGCCATGTCTCCTCAGTCTCCATCATTTCACTTTGTTACATGTTTCTCACATCTTTGTTGAGCCTGGTTCTTGCCATTTTTCTTCATGGTTCTATTATACTGTTCTACAAATTGAGTTGCACTGCTATAACATAAACTAAAACAGTATTTCTGTAAAGCAGTAAATCACAGAACATGCACGTTATCTGTAGTGAAACAACTCACACCAATGGAAATATATACAGTCCCTTCTGTTAATGCGTTGGAGTGACACAAGAAAATAGAAAACAGCAGAATAAAACTCAATATTAGGTTGCAGTGTTTTACTTTAAATGCAAATTACTTTTAACAGTGTCTGTATACAAATGATCAGAATACATGGCAAACAAGTAATACATGACACTGGACCATAACATGTTCTTTCTTGTATTTGTACAAGATAAATCACATTTTAACAATTCAAATAAAAGTGAAAATAAAAGAAGGTACATTTCGACTTCTTGGTCAGTCTTAGATTAGAGCACACAGGAGGACCACTGCTTCTGAGTCCCCTTCACACACATTACATTGTGTGACAGTTTATGTACTACACAGTATAGTAGTGTGTCATTGCTTCACCATGTTGTCTTGTGTAAAAGCAGTGCTCAGTGTTGTTACAGAAGAATGAAGTACAGACTCAGAAGCAAAACTTGGTGAGAATCAAAAGAATGTGATACAACAGTCATACATGATTTCATTCATTCAGCATTTGTATAGTGATTTTTATGGGATATTTCTGAGCATCACATGTGTCATAATCATTATTTTAGAAAGAGGTCGACCACATGTGCCACTCCCCCCACAATGGCTCCTACTGCGGCTCCCGCTGCAGCGCCAGCCGGACCCCCCACGATAGCGCCTGTTGCCGCACCCATAGTCGCCGCCTTGGTGATGTCCTTTCCTGCTTCTTCAACCTCCTTCATGACGGGTTTGTCTGCAAGGTTTACAGGACAAACTAATGACTGGACTGACTCAACAATGCAGTTCTTATTCAATCATAACCTGGTTTTCATCATAACGTTTATACACTTTCTTCCTTATGACTTCTTGTATACAGCTGAGATTTTTTCATTACTTATTTTTCTATTTTATTTTGTCTGGTACATATACATTTATATAATAATGTCTTATCTGACACCTGTCTCTTGTGATCTTTTTTGACACTTATTTAGAATTAATTTTTATCATTTCTATTTTTACTCTTTATTATTATATGATATTGTGATGTGTGAGTTGCTGTGTCCAAATCATTTTCCTCATGGATCAATAAAGTTTGTCTAAGTCTCTGGTCCGACTGGTATGTGTAGTCCTCTAAACAGAGTTGTACACATCAATCTGGGACAGCTCTGAAAACGATGGGAACCAAAGATCAGAGCGTCCAAACAAAAACTTCTGTTGATGTTGATTGAAACAGAGGAACAAGTTAAAAACCTGTCCATAAAAGCACAAAACACTTACCTATGCACACTTTTCAAAAGCAAAATAGTCTGTAATTTTAGTGCACAGATAAATGCATCAGAATTGGTGTAAAGGGACAGTTGTTTAAAAGTCATTCTTAAAACCAAATGTGTCAGAATAAAGGAGAAAGATACAGGTTATATACACCATAAAAGACAATGTAGACAATGTTAAGTAACTACTTAGTTTCATATTAATCAGTTTTGTACATATCAGTGTTAGGACAAACTCCATTTCTGTGGACTGTCACTGCCAGCTCAGTACAGCACAGAACTAGAACGTCTCTAAGAGTGAATAATACATATAAGGATTCAAATCACCTTTGTCTCATAAATACAGTTCCAGGTGTTTTAAAATTCTTGTATTTTTGCTGAGATTTTAGTCAAATATGAATCTTAAAATGGAAGTCTGACCTGAACTCATGATGAAAAAGTCTTCAGTCGATAACCGTCCACCTGCTTTAGTCTGACCCAGAGTCTCCTGCTCCTCTCTACCCTGCCCCCTTATATCTTTGGACTGACACAGTGGGCGTTTGCAACATTTTAGTGTAAGATTGAAACTAGAATGAAGTTAATCATTGGTGAGAGATGGCGTTGGAGGTGATTACTTACTTACTTTGGCATGTTTCGATTATAACTTCCATCGTCGCCAAAGGTAGAAGGTTTTTGACAATTTATTGTAACGAGCCAAGCGTAAGGTTTTGACTCAGACCATGACAGAGCTTGGATGAGCACCCAAGATCTGATTATTATTAGCTATAAGACTATTAAATTACATATAAAAAGTAATTTAAGGTGCTTGAGCTCATATTGTGACTATACACTGTCATTTAAGAGAAGGCCTTTTGGATGCAAAAATAAATGAGAGGCTTTAAACATCAATTTGAAAATCTGGTTTAGAAAGGTAACTGTATCCCACCACCTCTTCCTCTTCCCACTTGTAGCTCTGTACATGGATATATGTATTATTATTATGATCTATTATTATTTTTAGTCATTTAGTTTAATAGTATGTAGCTCCTATGGAAATATTATTATACTGATCCCTCCAAAATGTCCCTATAACCAACACTGTACTGATGAAACTCTATGCATTGCTATATCACACTATAGACATCTGCATTTACTGAAATCCTGATAACGAGATGCTCAAACCCCACGCTCTCACACAGACACATACACACACACAAACATACACACATACACAAACACACACACTTTTGACTGATAATATAAGTTAATAATTGCGGGTGATACAAACATTGCGATAATAAGATTTAGTTTTGCATTCAGTTTTGCTATGTGTCACAGACTCTGTTTCTAAAAAATCATTTGCATATTTCTTGTACTTTGAACAGATTTATAACATTTTTTGTTTGTTTGTTTGTTTTTTATCCAGGATCAAACTGTCCAAGGCTTTTATCCAAAGTCAAATGGTAAATTACCTCTTTTATCAGTAATAGAATGACATTTTCATACATGAGATCTTATATTTCTGATAAAGCTAAAAACCAGTGATTTAAAAATAACGGTGATTTAATGCTTTATCGTGTTCTGGGCATGTCCCACAGGAAGGAGGCCCAGGGGAAGACCCAGGACACGCTGGAGGGACTATGTCTCTGGGCTGGCCTGGGAACACCTCGAGGTCCCCATGGAGGAGCTGGAGGAAGTGTCTGGGGTGAAGGAAGTGTGGGAGTCCCTGCTTAGATTGCTGCCCCCACGACTCGGCCCCGGATAAGTGGAAGAAAATGAATGGATGGATAATTTTTCATCGGTTTATTAATTCACGAATAAAGAAATTTTGACTTTAGTGCCAATATAAATTAATAAAAAAAAATATCTATCTATCTATCTATCTATCTATCTCTCTCTCTCTCTCTCTCTCTCTCTCTCTCTCTCTCTCTCTATATATATATATATATATATATATATATATATATATATAATATAGAGAGAGAGAGAGAGAGAGAGAGAGAGAGAGAGAGAGAGAACTGTAAATTGAGATAGTTTTTAGTTCAGTTTTTCATTCAGTTTTGTTTTAAGTCATGGTGTCAATGTCCAGATGACCACATAACAGATAACAGATAACACAGCAAAGATAACACCAAACAGCTTTTATTTTCTGGATCAGTCTCCCCAGTTGTGCTGTTCTGTCCGGTGAAGGTGCAGGAGATGCTGTGGGTTGCCTATGTCCACTAGATGGCAGCGTTGTCTACAATTTTGCTTCTACACACCCTCGCCTGTCTGCTAACAGCCTTTCTGTTCGTCCTGCTGTTTATTCAAGTGTTCAATATTTACATTGGTAATTATGCTCCTGTTGCCTGATTGGCCTCTTATGGACTCCAGCCTCTTGGTCACTGATTCATTCACTCAGAGTTTGTAGTGCGCACTGCTCTAAACACTGCTTAGAAAACAGAGCTGATGATATGATCACTGACAGGACATAGTGTTATCTGTTACATAAGGGTGAGTTGTACAGTTGTAGGGAGTATTATTTATGACATAAGGGTGAGTTATTTTACAGTTGTAGGGAGTATTATCTGTTACATAATGATAAGTAGTTGTACAGTTGTAGGGAGTATTATCTGTTACATAAGGGTGAGTTGTTTTACAGTTGTAGGGAGCATTATCTATGACATAAGTTTGAGTTGTTTTACAGTTGTAGGGGGTATTATTTATGACATAAAGGTGCGTTGTTGGGACTATCCCTACAACTCTCCACAGATCTGACCTGTAACTTGGTCTGGTGTCTTCTCCATGAAGCTAGAAAAGCTTAATGCCATACTACAAAACATTCCAGACAAAGCAATAACATCTCCATTAAGCATTTGACAGACCCTTCATCAGAAAAGTTACACAAAGCACTGTTAATATTAGTGAAAGTATACTGGCTTTGTTCCTTCTTCTGCTTACTTTTCTCTCTGCCTCTTTTGAGCTGGGGAAATCTACTTTTTCTCAAATGGAATCTGGTGTCACTTGATAAGTTCAAAAAAACTGTAAAAAGTGTGGTGACTGAGATAGTGTATGTTTTCTTTTGCAAATGGTTTATTATATGATATTTTGTGATTTTACTGTTTTGTATTGATTGTGTTGGCTGCCACCTCAGCAAACTCTGATTCTCAAAGGGACCTGCTGGTTAAACAAAGGCAAAAACAGGCTTAAACATTGCAGTATGTTACCTGCTAGTCAAAGATAAGGACTGGAATTACTTCATAGCTAAAATTCAATTCAAATTCAAATTCAAAAAGTTCATTGTCAATTTTCCTATGAAACATATGAAGAAAATTTAAACAATTTAAATTGAAATCATGTTCCTCACTCCCAATCTAAGATCTAATCTAAAATTATGAATGCAATAAATTATCAAATATTTTGTGTACAGTATATGTGTAAAAAATGAATACCCTACTGCTTGTCTCCATAAAGATTTTAATACTCAATGAAGATTCTTTGTTCAAAAATACTAAAATACTAATATAGAATAACATGAATTCTTAGCTGGATTGCCTCTCCACAGATCTGACCAGTTGGTATAGTGGCGTCACCTGCTTGTCTCCATGGAGATAGACAATGGGTAGCTATGGGTAACAGCAAAACATATAAAGTTTGGATTATTTTTATAAATTGCTTATTTCTACCAATACAACTTCTTTACAATTACTAATACTTGAATAGTCCTACTGACCCAACAAGGAGTATTTCTGCTATTACACTGTGGTCAAAAATGATAAAAAAAATACCACTACTACTACTAGTACTGCTACTACTACTACCACTAGTGAGTAAAATTAAAATATATTGCGTTTTTTGTAAAGTTATAATTGTAAATACTGGCAGAAAAAACTACAACAGTTTCCATTGTAACAAACTTATAATTCTGGTACTGGCAGATTGTGATGAAAAAATCTTGGAGAAAGACAATACAATAACTTATAACACTTTTGAAAGCTTGCGTGCCATGTGTAGTGGTGTGCGTACCAAAATGTGTCAGAAAACTTTGTTATATTTTTAGATTTTGAGCTGAACTCCTTTGTCTGGCCCTGTCTATCTATCTGGTGTGGTTGGCAGGTGCGTTTGGCAGGTGCTTTCATCAGGTCTGAATGGTTGAAATCCACCTCTGTATATTCACTCTGCCCCTGTCACAGACTTGAAGCGTTAAGTGGAACAGGTTTTATTCACAACTTATCAGCTGCACACAATGGTATTTGTCACATTTCACAGATTTTCATCTCAGCAAAAGAATGAACGTATAATATCAAAGTTAAATTTAAGAACATTTTATATTTATTGCAATGTACCCCTCATTCATATTGGTGAAGAAAAAAGGAACGGGAAATAATTGAAGAAAGAATGAATCTGGTAGAGGATGGTTTCAGAACACGGTGTAATATGGGCCCTTTAGGAGGATAAGGATAATTGCCAGGATAATGCCATTATGATGCTTATAGACACTGGTAGGTCTGCTCTAACTCCACTGTCCTTGAGGCTGAATCTTCTCTGTGCATTTAATTAACCCATCAGTGCCCAGGGCAAGTGTGCTTAATGTTACCCAGCGCCCCAGTCAAGGACACTGGATCACAGCCATTAGCCCACAGTAGCAAACATGCTAATTACGTCCACATATCTGTACAGGAAACGTCTTTTAACTATTATGTGTTATGCATGTGTATAATGAACTGTATATTTTTAAAGGTGCATTGTGTAGATTTTCTGGTGGAGGTTCTCTTAAATGCTTTTCTCCATGAAGATGTCTGGAATGCTTCATGTTATGATATTATTTATAATCCATCCATTTTCTTCTGTTTATCTGGGGCCGCGTCAAGGGGGCAGCAATCTAAGCAGGGACTCCCAGACTTCCTTCAGCCTGGACACTTCCTCCAGCTCCTCTGGGTGTTCCCAGACCAGCCGAGAGACATAGTCCCTCCAGCGTGTCCTGGGTTTTCCCCGAGGCCTCCTTCCCGTGGGACATGCCCAAAACACCTCCTGAGGGAGGTGCCCGGGAGGCATCCAGAGCAGACGCCCGAGCCACCTCTGCTGGCTCCTCTCAATGTGGAGGAGCAGCGGCTCTACTCCGAGTTCAACCCGTGTGACTGTGCTCCTCACTCTATGCTCTTCACCACAACGGTCCAATACAGCAACCACATCACTGCAGACACTGCACTGATCCACCTGTCAATCTCACACTCTGTTCTTCCCTCACTCGTGAACAAGACTCAGAGATACTTGAACTCTTCCACTTGAGGCAAGGACTCTCCACCCACCCGGAGAGGGCAAGACACCTTTTTCCGGTCGAGAACCATGGCCTCGGACTTGGAAGAGCTGATCCTCATCCCGGCTGCTTCACACTTGGCTGCAAACCGCCCCAGTGCACAGTGCAGGTTCTGGTTCAATGAAGCCAACAAAACAACATCATCTGCGAACAGCAGAGATGATCCTGTGGCTCCTAAACCCCCTCTGGCCCCTGACTGCAC